ACACACTTTTATTAGCAGTGAAGAAGCTTCGGTTTAGTAAAAGAAAAAGGTTACCAGTAGTAAAATCCAAGCTGCTGACGTCCAAGTTTTAAGAAGTGTCTTGGAATGTGCCAGATTAGACCCGAGACACACAGAAGAATCCAAATGTGCGTTCAATGTGGGGGTGAAAATGGCTTAACAGAAGTAGATAGATACTCAGGCAGTGTAACAGCGGGGTTCGTTCCAGGATGTCTCGTTGCTGGGGCGGTTCTAGACAGTGGAAAGAGCTTCTTCGAAAACGCTCTGGTGTCAGGTATACGATGTCTCACTGTGTCTGTCCTCCATTTCCAGCTCTGGTTCAGTTCATAACAAATCAGGTTTCCAATTTACAAAATGTTATTACGGAGTAGAGAATGGACAATGACAGATTAAAAGAAAACTGTTCTTCAGAAACGAAAGAGTGTAGAGATAGTTGTAATTGTTTTTGTTGTAGTTTTAAAACGTATTTGCATTGTATTCATTTTATGTAGTGTGTGTTATTTGTGTGTTGTGTCTTATTGTAATACCACTGCCACCGGATAGAAACTCATTTACAGTTTAAATAAAATAATATGGGAAGACCATTCAGAGCTTGGCCGTGGATTCGAAACAGGTCTGAATCTACTCTGTGAAAGGCGTGAAAAGTTATTTCTATAAAAGCGGATTTCTTCTTGATTTCAAAATGTAGAATGGAATATGTTTGCGTTTCATGTTATTTAACTATGTAGACTTAAAAGCCTCTGTGTTATAATTAACGAGTATGGCTTGTCTGGTAATTAGAAGTCGTGTAATTCCTTATTTTCTCGAAAACAGAGTTATTTTTGTAAGGAAACGAGCTTAACAAATTATTCCTCATGACTTATTCTCTGTGACATATTTTGTCTCGTATAATTGGAAGAAAGACTTTAAGAAACATTGCATAATTATAAAAAGCAAAATGCACACAGTTCTCCTCTAGAAGCGTTTTAATCACACTTGCAGACTGTGTTCTCTCAGATAATGCAAATATTTGCTTTTCATGTCTACTAAGCTCAAGCGGTTAGTCGCTGGTTCCCACCGCGGCGGTCCGGGTTCGATCCCGAATCTGTTCAAGTGGGATTTGTGGTGGACAGCGTGGCGCTGGGGCGGGCCCGCAGTGTGAAGGCGGTGACTAGCCGCCTGAGCTTTGGCAAGGCCAGTTCTAACGCGTCCACATTACTCATGCTCGTGCTCGTGTGACTCGCTATGCTCGCGAGTAATGTGGACGATATGACAAGTCACGAGACAAGCAAATTTTAAATTTTTAATTTAAAAGCTATAGCCAATAAATTAAAATGCGACTACAGCCTATACACACTACGAGTAAATATACGGATCCTCACGCGCCGAAGCCTGGCGAGCAGCTGAAGTAGTGTGGACGAAGATGTACGAGCACAAGTAAAAGCCAGACGAGTCTCCCGACGAGCACAAACCTGGCCAGCACGAGCACGAATACGAGCACGAGTAATGTGGACGCGCCTTAAGACTTCCATAATTTATGCCAATGCCATTCTCGGCTTTAAATGTAGTCTCTGTGCGTGCGTGTGTGTGTGTGTGTCGGGGGGAGGGTTAAAACTGTAAAATGCCGTTGAGGCCACACAGTCTTAACGTCTGAACGGTGTGGGTGTGCTTCCCCTTCTCTGGCTGCTTTTCTCTGAATCAAGAAAACGCATAAAACTTGTCGCTGCAATTTCAGAACTATTTAAGTCGCGTCTCAAGGGGCCCCCGGGGGTGTGTTGCACTAGGAATTATTGACTCTCTAAACTTCGACCGTTGTTTCATGGCATTTTAGAATATGCGACGGTGAACAGAGCCCAGAAACAGAAATTCCTAAATTATAAAGTCTGAATATGATATTACGCCTTCATTTTATACACTCCGTGTAACAAACATGTAAAAGATGTTCTGTGGTTATAGTATTGACTGCGGTGCCGGTTGTGTTAAGAACGGGACACCTGTCAACCTGTATTGGCTAAGCAGGAGGGGGGCAACCGTGGCAGTCGCTCCGAGGCCTCCAAAAAGCAGGACTAGAATCCGCAATTTACTGTAGGTTTTCTTGTCTAAAATCACGAAAACTTAGTTTGGATTTTTAGATATTACGCCGGAAGGTCGCGGATTCGATTCCCGATGAGGTCGTTGGATTTCTCAATTGACCTAATCCTTCCAGCCGCACTATGGCCCTGGGTCGACTCAGCCTCTAACAGAAATGAGTACCAGGAATCTTAATGGGGTTAAAGTGTGACAGGCGCGTAAGGCTGACGACCTCTCCGCCATCTGTCTAGAAAATGTGAGAGCCTCGACGTCTCACAACCCTATAGACCTCCACGCCTCTTACGAAGATAGCTTTACCTTTTTTTACCTTTATCATAATAAATTAAGAACAACAACAATGATAATTTGTTGTTAATGATAGCCCCCCTCACTGCCAATACAACCAAGTATCTAAGTCCAAATGCTTTTGATAATAGTGTGTTGCAGGTCCTAGGACCTGTTTCACGTCCAGTTAGCCCGGTAAGTGCTCTACTCTGGATCATTTCTTACATCTGGTGATGAAAACTTCATTTTTCAGAACATTACAGAAGACATTGTACTCCATATGTGAAACATCACATGATTCCAACAGCTAAGTTGGCCTGATATTTTGCAGATAATTCGTCAAGTAAGCTTACTGCTTTGTATTCCAGAAGCATACCAATCCTGCACCTCCCCCCCCCCAAAAATATTGTAGAACTGTCAGCTAAGAGAGTGAAGATGTAGGTTCCATAGAACCTAAATCTTCTTAGACATTTCATTAGACACTCAAAGTGTTCAAGGTCGCCAATCAGTAGCAATACTTCTATTTCAACTACCACAAGTATATTTGTCAGCCAAGATATATCTCATGTAATTTATACATACTTTTCCCTTTTAGACCCCCATTCTGTCTTTGCTAATGCTCACTTCATCTCATAGCCCGAGCAGATGAAGGAAACAAAAGGATAACAGTTTTATTAACACACATCAAGATCTCGTTACCAAAAGTCAGGTAATTGTTAACTGAACGAAGATTCTTTTTATTTAATTTTTTTACACAATGACGCGTTATCCACTGTGTCGAAGCACGTTGATGCAGGCTGTAGCATTTCTAATGTATATTCGTAAAGACCTGAAAATCCTTGCCTTGACATCTGTTATCCTGACATTTTCTTGTTTTCTGCATGCCCCTCCAGTAAAGTCCAAAGACCATATTTTTCACATCCTTTCAAGTTCATTTTCACTATCATCCAATCATTTGATGCTGTATAGTCTGAATTGATTGGCAACATAGAGGCTGCGCCATAGCTCAAGTGGTTAGTCGCTGGATTCCCACCGTGGTGCCCTGGGTTTGATCCCGGGTCTGGTCAAGTGGGATGTGTGGTGGACAAAGTGGCTCTGGGTCCGGTTTCTTTGGTTTCCCCTGCCAATCTTCATTCCACCAAATTCTCTATCATCATAATCATCCGGGGCAGGCTACAATAGGCCAGTCAGTGGCTGCTGTGCTGAGTGGACCCAGTTGGACTCCACCTCCCCCCCACTAAGCGAATTAAAAAAAAAATTAATTGACAGCATCATTAAGTAGACCACAAAAAAGTAAGCACCACATTGTGGATATATTAGTTTCTTGAATGTAAAACATTATAGTCCTCTGTATTGGGTGGAGGTGCATGGTCAGTTTCATGATTTGACTGCTGCACTCCTACCCATTCGATAGCAGGCCATATGGGTCCCAGAGCTGATCTGGGCATGATAATGGAGAGAGATCTCTAACCCTGGTGCATCTTCACATTTTAGAAGGATCAGAAACAGTTAATGGAGCTAGAAAATGCATATTGACACATTTAACAGTATGTCACTGAGGAGAATTACTAAGTCCATATTCAATATTACAGATTTTTCTGACTGTGCAATAGCTCAGGTAGTTCGACACTGGCTTTTTATTTTAGAGGCTCAGGCTGAGTCCTGGGTCACTTCATGTGAGATTCAAGGTGAACACAGTGGCACTGGAGCAGGTATATCTCTCAGTTTCTTCAGTTTTCCCCTGCAGATCATCATTCCACTATTGCTCCTTACTGAACTGAGAGTATCATGGTCACCTGAGATATGTAGGAACCATAACATGGTACTTGGCCAGGTACAATGTAAGGAATTTGTTTAAATTATTGCTTTAGGTCCTTTATCTGACAAGATATTGAAGCAAAATTGAAAGCCTTCAAGATTACAGACATGCCTACATATGTCACAAAGCCCGAAATTCATCTAAATAATGTTCCCACCTGACAGAAAACACCATATCAGCATTACAAAGACAGATCCATTAACACTAATTAGGACAATAATGGCTGTTTATTCTGAGAATCATGTGAAATGATAAATAAACTATGTTGACAGAGTGCAGAATTGTTATTTCTTTGACATTATAACAAGTGCTTCATAACGTTACAACGGTGCTTTAAAGAGTTAGTATAGTCAGCATGAGAGATATACAGGAAGATGTATGCTGTATGAAATTTTGTTATGAGGTAAAATATATTAGAATTGCTTGGTTACGCTGCTAGAACCTTGCATAGTTCAAACTTATCACAGACAAGAATTGTATGTATGAAAATTGAAGTTATCACAGCTGTAAGGATCAAAATTGTAGTTTTCTGAAATATGACACTGTGTAGTTCGGTAGTTAGGTACCAGTTTTTCGAGGAAGCTTAGCTTCTTTTACCCTGAAGATGGCGGCAGCAGTCTCCTATGAAGCCATGCTGGCTCTGTGTCAAAATATACTGCATCGCATCTCAGAAGACTATAACCTTGAGTTGTACATTCTGTAATATAACATGTACTTAGTCTTTCTAAAGTTGCTGAGGTCTGCAGTTAACAGTGACGTGATCACGGAATTCAGTTCTTCACTCCTTCAACTCAATACCCCCATTCATTATAACGTTTGCTTCTTTCAGATATTGCGTGATATTCGACAAGGGTTGTTGCAAATTGGAAGGGAAGGAGTAAGACCAGGTTTGCCCAGGGGTGAGTATTGAACTCCATTTCTGCAAATTTACGCAGTTATTTTGGAAGCTTTTGAAGGATTATCACTTTAATTATCAAAGAGGTAAAGGATGAATGTACAGGAGTTGGTATTAGTAGTCATTTATAGTCAGATGTATAATGAAGATCAGACTAACAGTGAAGTAACATGCATGGCAAGAAGATTACCATACAGGATGCTTAGTCTATTCTTATGTCGTTCTGTACTATTGCTAGTATGTTGCGTTCCTTGAAGTGATACACATACATGCTGTACACAAATACTGCCATGGTGTGGATGGAATTATATGGAGACTGTCTGTCATGTTTTCTTGGGACTTCGAAATTTGAAGTCATATAAATAATATTAAAAAAAATAGTTCCTGCCCAAAAATAAAGCCACCCTGCATCCCCATTACAAAAACCAGTTATTTATTTATGGTCTTTGTAATAGATATGTCACTTCAGACTCTAAGAGTGTGTCAGCCAGTTCATGCTATCTGGGAAAATAATCATTGTTTTTTCTAAGAATCAAATGAAACAAGTAAATACTATAATCAATGACTTAAATGCATAGATTTTAGGCACATTTTCAGCCATGAAGAACGTCTATTAAATTTGCTCTATCCTTCCATCTATGTACACATGAAACAATTTCAGGACTGCTGAATTGAGTTTTCTAATTTGATATTAGAGAATTTTAATAAAATATGTTATCACTATTCCTAATTTTTGGTTAAAATCAGAAAAGAAACAGTGGACAGTTTGCATAAAGATCTAGATGTGGTACTGATTGTACCTTGCCAAATATTTCTTAGAGCTGATGTTTGTGCTTGTAACATGCTTCTCGCTGGTTTCTTATTTGGCTTACTATTTGACTGAGAAGATAGGGGCAGTTTATTCCTCCAAAACATCAGTGAACTTCTGTCAAGACTACAAAGCATTAATCCACAAAGATGACATTCTTCAGCCAAAAATATGGTCTGCAGTCTCTCAGAACATTGCCAACATACTGTACAGTGTAGTAATATTCAGATGCAGTATTTCAACTGCAGCTGCCTTGAACAAGTAGGCCACATCTTGATTTATCTGTAAGATAAAGGTAAAAAGTAAAGGTGTCCCTGTTACAGGCTGTGAAAACCCTCAGGGTTCTGAGACATTGAGGCTCCCACATTTTCTAGACAGTTGACTCACATATGGTGGTGAAGTTGTCAGCCTTATGTGCCGTGCCAGCTGCCTTTTACCCCCAGGAAGATTCCTGGTTTTTATTACTTTCTGATGATATCAATAGCTCGACTATATAGCATGCAATGGTGGGATGATTTCTAGATAATGAACTGGATATGATTTAGAAAGGAAATGATGATGACCTAACTGAGGTACTATTCCAGTGTCTGCTGGAGGGAATGAGGAGAACTGCTGAGATTCTCAGTCAGGATGGCCGGTGTCCTAGCTGAAGGACGTGAGCCTAGAGCTCTACTGCTACACCATCTCAATCCATATATAGGTCCAGTGATGCTCTATTAAAGTGCATAGGCCATATGACATGTATCACAAGATTTTGTTCATGTTAATGACAGTTTTTCAATCAAGTTGCATAGTGCGATGTCCGTGAATGATAGTAAAATTAGAAGAATGTGGAGGGAACAGAGTATGGCATCTTATAAAGTACTGTCCCATTGTTTGACTTCATGGCTTGAGGAAAATTACCGGAGTGGTCGGTGTGTGCGTGCGTGCGTGTGTGGAGGGGGGAGGACAGGTTCTAGTTTTCAGAAGTGTTTACAGTCCGTAACCTCTCTCATGCATTTATAGTTGATTTAGGTTTGATAAATAATTTGACAGCATTCACTTTGATACCCGCACTTCTTGGAGACATCATTCTGATCATTGCTATGATTATTCATTTATTTAATGACTTTTTTCAGCTGCATTTGCTTGTATAGTATGGTAGGTTTTCAGTTAATGAATGTAACTGAATTATCAGAATACAGGTTGTTGTTTAAGGTTCATAATGGTTAGCATAATTTCAGATTAATTCACACACAAAATTGATTTTTCTTACATTCGTTTTATTTCAAGGAAACTACTCTCTCTCCGTAATTTATAATTTTCGCTCTTATTTTTCTTCTCTACTTCAGACACAGGTGATATTTCCTGAAAACATATGATCTAGCAGTATTTTTACTATTTGTGGTGTCTAGCAGTTGAAGATATTTTTCTGTTGGCCATTTTTCAAGTGACATTGACTTGTGATCACCTTCACCATTTTTATAGTCTGTTCTCCCCATATAAATTTTCCCTCTGTTAATATGAATTCATAATTCAAACACGTCAGCTTGAAGGGGAAGTAGTGGCTTTACTTGCTCCCACCACTTGGTGATCCATTTCCTGTGAGTTACTTGAGAGTGGATTATACATTGATATTCATGAAAGTGTTTGACTCCTTTTTCTTTTCACAATTCATCTCTTGTGTGTGAAACTTTTAAAGGTACTGTGATAGCACATGAGAGCCATGTCTGTTATAATTCTTTCCTTGCAATATATCCTAAAAAGTAAAGTAAATAAGTAAAAAGTAAAGCTATCCCTGTAACATGCCATGGAGGCCCACAGGGTTGTGAGATGTTGAGGTTCCCACATTTTCTAGACAGTTCGCTCATAGATGGTGGCAAGGCTGTCAGCCTTACACACCAGCCACCCTTTCTTGTTCTTCTTATATGGCGCAACAGCCCGATGTTGGGCCTTGGCCTCCCTTATCAAGCCCCTCCATTCCTCTCGATCCTGTGCTGCTCTCTTCCGATCCTTACACCCATTCACTTCTTCGCATCTTCTTCCACCGCATCAATCCATCTAGTTCTTGGTTTCCCAGCACGTCTCCTACCACCTATTGTACTGTATAATATTTTCTTTGGGATATGCTCCTTAGCCATTCTCTGTACATGCCCAGCCCATTGCAATCTTTTTAGCTTTATCGTCACTGAGATCTCTGGCTCCTTATATAATTTGTATAACTCTTTATTATATCTTATTCTCCATATCCCATTCTCTTTTATTGGTCCATAAATTCATCTTAGTATTTTCCTCTCGAATGAATTGATGACTGATTCCTCTTTCTTCTTTAGCGTCCAACCCTCACTTCCATAATAAGGTCCCGGTCTTATTGTTTTATGTATTTTTGTTTTAATTGCTCGATGTATATCCTTTGATCTAAAAACTGATAGTAAGAAGAAATATGCATTATTCGCTAGTTTTATTCTTCTTGTTATTTCATGATTTTCCTCTCCATCTTTATGGAATTTCGATCCTAAATATATGAAGTCTTCAACTATTTCTATCTCGTTCCCTTCCATGTTAATTCTCCAGTTTGCCTTGGATTCCTTCTGGAGTGTGTCAGCATTTTAGTTTTATTTACTTTCACCTATAAGCCAGTTATTTTGCTATGGTTTTTATTTCTTTATATGTCTTCATCATTGCTCTTAGGGATCTCGATACTATAATATCATCCACATATGCCATTATTTGCCATTGTTTATATGCTGTGTTCCTCCGGCCACCCTTTACCCTCAAGAATATTCCTGGTACTCATTTCTATTAGAGGCTGGGTCGACCCAGGACCATAGTGCAGCTGGAAGGATTAGGTCAATTGAAAAAATCTGACGACCTCATTGGGACTTGAACCCATGACCTTCCAGCTTGTAGCGTAGTGTCTCAACCAACTACACTATCATCTGCCCCTTGCAATATATCCTGCATCTTGTAATTGAAATGATATATGCAGACAAACAGTTTCATAATCTGCTGGATAATACATCATCTCTCTGTACAATAAAATTGTATTTGTGCTATATGAGATTATGAGTACACACCTGAAAGTTGTAGGCAAACTGATTCCTCAGTAGGCAAATCTCCAGCTGTAATTTGTCACTGAGCAGGCTGGTTTAGTGTTAACATTCAAGACTTATATTCAAGATGTGCTTGGACATAATCCCAAACCACATATTGGATATCCTGAGTGAGGTATATGATGGTCTTCCTCAGTCTATCCAAGAAAGTGCTGGAATAGTATCCAAGTTAGGCCATGGCTGCTTCCTTCCAAATCTTTTCCAGTTCATTATTCGTCCACCCTACCATTTGATGCAATGTAGTCTGAGATACAGACATCATCATTATACAAATAAAAAAAAAATTGTCTCTCTGTTGTCAGCTGAAATCTTCTTGATAAAGAATGCATATTAGGAGAATTTCTTGAAACCGTTTTTCTTTTGTTATGATTGGATTTGAGTAGGCTGTGTGAGTTCAGAATATAAATTAGTAGTTACATGATCTGTTGGCCACGCCATAGCTCAAATGTTTTTTTTTAATGCTAGTGGGGTGGGACAAGTCCCTTGTACTGTGGCCACTTCTGGCCTATTATACCAGCCCCAGATGATAGGTGAGGGTGATTGTGGAGCAGTTGGTGGAATGAAGATTGGCAAGGGAACTGAAGTACTCGGAGAAAACCTGCCCCAGTGTCAATTTGTCCACCACAAATCCCACTTGACCAGACCCAGGATCGAACCAAGGCCGCCGCAGTGGGAAGCCAGTGACTAACCGCCTGAGCTATGGCACGGCCTAGCTCAAGCGGTTAGTTTCTGGCTTCCCACTGTGGCGGCTCGGGTTCAAACCCAGGTCTGGTCAAGTTGGATTTGTGGTGGACAGAGTGGCACTGGGGTAGGTTTTCTCTGCCAGTCTTCATTCCACCAAATTCTCCATCAGTATAATCACACCGGGCAGGTACAATAGGCCAATCAGTGGCCGCTGTGCCAAGTGGACCCAACTGGTCTCCACTCCCCACTGTGCAAATTAAAAAAAAAATGAAGATACAAGATCTGTTCTGTGTTGCAAGACAGTACCTAAGATGAAGGTATATGGGATGATTCACAACTTCATGTCATAATTTCAGGAGCTTAAACATGAGTTCATGCCCAGTCAGGTGTCTTATATAAACATAAGTCTGATTCTCAATTATTATAGACTTAACATTATTGAAATCTAAAAAAAGAGTTCACAAGTATTGAAATAAATTTTTATTTGCTGAATTTACAGTAACTATTCAAAATGTACATCTCAAAGACACATGTTGTCTGATCTGTGAATCAAGCATGTACCTTTAATGACTTAACTAAAAATGTCCTTTATACCAGGTGTAGCATCCAAAATGTGACAAAGCAGTGATCTCATCTAACCCACTCTTGATCATACATTGGATCCTGTATGTGTCCCAACAGAAACAAATCTAACTTGTTGAGGTCTGGGTAGCTGCGCAGCCAGTATTGTGGATCACTACAACCATGCCATGAGCAGAGACATGCTGAATGGTGTCCATTTGCCCTTCACAACTAAAATGGGGAGGCTGTTTGGTTCAGGTCATGCATGCACATGTCAGCATACTTTTCTGCCAACATAAAATTACCGTGGAATAACTCCAAACCATTCTTGAATTTCAGTTAGAGCTCCATAACCTTCGAGAATTGGGCCTGTGTTTATATGTCATTTCTGACTGGGAATAACCCCAGGTATAAGCACCTGAAGACGAAGACATAATGTTGTGAATCACCCTATACATATAAATGGTAGATCATGACTTAATGTCAGTATTTCAGTAGCTTATTCCTGAGATCATTCCCATTTAGAAGTAAGATATACACGTGGATCTGATTCCCAGTGCATACAGACCTGTGGATGTATGAAATTTAAGAATAATTTACTCATTTCTAAGCTCTTAGTTGGAAGAGTGCTCAGTTGAAAGTCTGGTTGTGAAGAGAAGACTTTATGTGTGATATTTGGAGTGTGTAATTCAGTGAGACTTTTATAGTTCCTATGTTAAAATCTGCTGCTAGGAAACGGCTAGTCGAAGCTGTAATAGTTTGAGGACACTAGTCTATGTGTGTCAGTGATCTGTGAAGTGTATTCATGAGTCATAAGTGTATAAGTGGTCAATAAATTGAGTCACCAATCCGAACCTCATCTGTAGTCACACATACACGTAACAGTATCTTCAACCTTCACCTACTATACTTACTTTAACCCCATTCATACCTTTATCTTCTTCCCCACTTTTTCTGTTAGAGCAGTGAATTATGTTGCACCTTTCCCTTCACATGGCACATTTTCAAATACACGTATATAGCTGCCACTAAGTTAACTATGTGAAAACAGTTATGATGTGAGAGCAACATAACATACACACATACATAATCATAAACATGCGTGCGCGCGCGCGCGCACGCACACACACATATATATATATAGACACGCACTCACATATTCAGGGTGTAATAGCAAGGTGCAGAAAATCTTTGGGTATTAGTTCCACATACAAAAACAAGAATAAATGTCAATATCAATATTATCCAGAAATATTTAATTTGTGAATTATAACTGAAAGAGCATATTTGTAATAATGAATGCACAAATTGCGGACTAAAACCACAGAGTTTTTTTCCTCAGTTACATCCTGTATGTGGTAGAGAATGTAAAAATGGTATCTGATAGTAATATTAAATGATTAGTGGTTGCATGAAGATTGTCTTTACTTATTTTGGTTTGTTTCACACAGTTGAACCTCGTATTTCTGAATATTATGAATTCATAACGTGAGTATTTGTTCCATGTGAGCAAGTTAGACCGCCAGTAAAGGATTCCCATATGTCACAGTCAAGTATAGAGCACCCCAGCTTTGTATTTTGGAGATTCCAGGTTTGAATTTCGACCCTGAGACCGCTGTCCAGACTTTGTGTCTTCGTGGTTTTCCTCACTCCTTCCAAGAAAATTCTGGGATATTACCTTAAAATGTGCCATGATGTCACATTACATTTCTTATTTAATGACACTGTCAGTATCGAGCATCAAAGTGCCATGGCCACATCCTTCCCTGTCCTTTCCAATTTGTAATGTACAAATATTTTTGCTGCTGGATATAACACATTCCACACAGTTGAAAAGGGTAATTAAATATACTATGAATATATTAATAATAGAATGACCATATGATATAACCTTTGTCTCCAGATGATGACACGTATATGTATGATGACGATGCTCGGTGTTCTGGCATTGGGCCTCATTGGTATGATGAACCTCCGTATGAAAGCGATCCAGAAGACTTCTTGATGGGTAGCAATGCAGGTCAGCCTGTTCCACTTGGTGCGATTCAGAATGGCAGGTTTGTATATGTGTTCCTTAATATGTGGCTAGAAAAATTATTCAGAACTTGTGTAAGAATTTCATCTGTACCAATACACATTCATAAAACCACTGACTAGTCACAATAATTTCTGTAAGAAGGAATTCTAGGCGTTATTGAGATTAGTGCCTGGGATTTGTTGAGCTCTATATTACAGTAAGTAAAATAAATTTGAAAACTTTTTAAATTATTGTTTATTTATGTATTAATGGGTGACCAAGTAACTTTAAAATTTACCGCCATGTTATCCATTGCTTTGTCCCTCATGTTAACCTGTACTTAGCCATTCTATATTTTGCCTGCAACACTAGGTCCACAGTTGTCTGGCTGATGTAAAAGCAATCTCATATTTTGAATTCCTTTACAAATGATGAATTTTTAGAATTTACCATGTACTGAAGAGAATGTTATGATTTTTCAAATGTGTGGAATTCTGTCAAGAGAATGCAAGTGCAAGAATTAGCATTCGTTGAAGCTACACATCAGTTATCGAGTTCCCTAGCAGTCACCATAAATTCCTGTGGAATGAAGGTGAACATACATCTCAGTAATTGGGGTGTTGGTTGTAAATTTTAAAGTTACTGAATGTCACATGTAACATTAAAAATGAAATCATTAGTACATAATGAGCTTTATTATATTGGTGTTACATAGAATCACTCTAAGCACAGTTTGTTTTTATATGTTACTTTATGTTTTTATTTAGGGTTTCTTTCACTCTTGACTTGAGGTCAGAGCCTCGGGGTGAGGGAGTAATTTCTCTTCGGACAGCTGGGGACATTTCCATACCACGTGACCCATCAATTAATGGGCCAGGAGCATGGCTTCATCATGCCCATGGATTTGGAATAACGGGAGGATCTACACTTACTCCTCGAGGGTCTGCACGCAGGGGACTCCTGGTTCCCCAGTCTGGCCCGTATCCTGCCACCATCATTCCCCTTGGTGGTGGAGGTGGACCACACATGAGAGATACACGAGGTGATGACTATGCAGGATCGGATGTCCAGAGTATAGGTGCGTTCAAGGAAAGTGGGATTCAGAAGATCTTTAAATAGGCCTGCACATATTTCCTATTAATATTCTTAGTCCTGACTTAGTGAGCACAACTTTCAGCTGCCTAAAATACACTGACCCTGTAAATATAGGCATCACCTGCAGGAACTAATGAAAAAGTAAAATAAAGTAAGTAAAGGTATCTGTGTAACAGGCAGTGGAGGCCCATAGGGTTGTGAGATGCTGAGGTTCCAACATTTTCTATACAGTCGGCTCATAGATGGCGGTAAGGTTGTCAGCCTTGCGCGCCGGCTGCCCTTTACCCCCAGGAATATTTCTGGTACTCATTTCTGTTAGAGAGGCTGAGTCAGCCCCAGGGCCATAGTGAGGCTGAAAGGATTAGGTAAACTGAAAAAAGATCCACCTCATCAGGATGCTTGTAGCATAGTACCTCAGCCAGCTATGCTACCGCATGCCCCTCAGGAACTTGGATGAAGAATTTGCTGGTTTTTATGAACAAAAGGAGAAATAAAATTTCTGCATATAAATAATAGACAATTCCTTTCATGTACACAGTAATCCAATGCATCATTTTTAGGTTACGGGGCAAACATAATTTATCTTCTTCCATTATTATGATTATGATAGTTTAATGATGATGGGATGTACAAATGAAGAAGATGGAAAAGAATATGGGCAAAAGAAGGAAGGAGATATAGGAACAAAAGGGACAGAGGTGTGGAAGAGCACGGGTGAGGGAAATGTTTTAACGTGAAGGAGAGGGAGGAAAGAAGATGGAAAGGAATTATGACAAGGGAGACAAATAAAAGGAATGGGAAAACAATAAGGGAGGGAGGAGAGAAGTAGATAAATATACAAAAGGCACAGAGGATAGGATAAAATGAGATAATTTTTTACTTCATCTATGATGGCACATGCTGTGGTAGCAATAAGGTGAAAATTCTTGGTGCCATTATGAAAACTGTAATAAACCATGGTGACACAGCATCCACAATTTATGCAGACCTTCTTTGAATAAACATTAGATCCCATCAGGGCAATAATTATGCAACCATATGGCACTACTTCAGAATGAACTTCCAAGAAGCTTCACAGCTTAGCATGCAGAATCCAGTCAAGCATGTTAACTCAGTATTAATGTTGTGACATGATGCCTGAAAGGTGAAATAGCAGAGCCAGGAAGATTTTTAAAGGGAAGTAATTCTATGCAGAATTTTAGCTGGGAAATCAGAAATAATGACTTTGAAAAATTTCGTGATTTTTTAACCCTCTGAAACATGAATTTTATGTACAACGTAAATAATGTTGTAGAGATTAAGTTCTTACACTTTGCATCTCTATTAGGAAGACAAATCAGTTGTATGCGGTGTAGGGATATCATGGTTGTTTATTCTGAGAATCATAAGGTAAAAATGTTATGGTGCCCCAGTACTCAGTTAAGCACCAGACAATGAAAATGTGTGGGGGAAGTTACGATATTGTTTATGCATCATAACCTCAGCAGAGGTGAGTGTTCAGCTCCATGCACCAGCTGCTTTACTCTTGCTGAAACAGATCCTGGTACCCACTGGGTAGAAGGCTGCATGGGTTTAAGACCCAGTCTGGATGCTGTGGAGAAGAGAAAAATCTTTTGCCCCTGCCAGGAACCTACCACTGATTATGAAACTCTTGAATACAGAGTAACAGAAAAGCCCAGAGCTTTTCTGTCTAAAAGCAGATGGTAAAAATGTAAGTAAAAAAAAAAAAGTAAAGCTATCCCTGTACCAGGCCGTGAAGGCCCATAGGGTCGTGAGACATTGAGGGTCCCACATTCTCTAGACAGTTGGCTCAAAGATAGCGGTAAGGTTGTCACCCTTACACACTGGCCGCGCTTTGCTCCCCAGGAAATTATTAATTAATTCCTAGTGCTCATTTCTGTTAGAGGCTGAATCATCCCCAGGGCCATAGTGCGGGTGGAAGGATTAGGTCAATTGAAAAAATCCAATGACCTCATCGGTACTTGAACCTGCGACCTTCCGGCTTGTAGTTCAACCAACTACAGTACCGCGTGCCCCAAAAGTAGATGGTACATGCAATAACCTCTGTTCTTTAAAGGGTCATATTTGTTGAGGAGACTATCATGATAGTATCTTAAAATCTTCACAGCCACTTGGACACATGTCTTCCCCATGTTTACTGCTTCATAAAGAGACCCATAAGTCATTCAAATGGGGCATTGTTCATCTTTATGCCCTAGTGTATATAGATTCTTCTTTGTATTAAAGTAATAAAATTTGATTTTCATTTTCTTTTAAATTTGTAGCAGAGTGAAGTGGCGGTTCATTTTTTTTTGCAATTATTAACTTGTTTGTATTTTAGGAATTTATTGTGTTTTGTTTTTTCAGGATCACGCCTGTCCACCATGTCAATTGACACTAGCAGATCAGAACAACTAGAAGGTCATTGTGGCATTGCATCACCTGCCTATCTGTCTGTACATGGAGGCAAAGGACAGCCCTTCAGAAAACTTGTTGCATACACGGTAAACATTCATAACATTCTGACTCATAAAAAGACAATTCCAAATTCCAATAATCATCTGTTCATTATGGGTTATGCTTTTCCTTTTTATTAATATAAGAACATTTTTAATTGTATTAATATATAAGGTTTTTCCTTTCAAAGAAATTTTGTAGGGGGGGGGGGATGATACTTGGACAGGGCCCTAATTGTCAGTCAGCAAGTTAGAGAATTTCTTAGTACACTGGATAACATAAAAGTTTAAATACTACATTAATAGTACATTGGAAAGTGCATTTGGTTTTGCTCAGAGCTGCTGTGTGTCGTGTTGCAGAGCCGGAGTAGTGCAAGTGAGGAGGGTCTGTCCCCAAGTCAGAGTTCTGATTATGAAGACCAGGAGGATCTTGAGACAGTTCAGCACTCCATCACAATCCACAGTGTAAGTTATGAAATGTGATAAGACTTATATCATTATAATGTTGTAGTACAGCTGGATAGATTCAGAAGAACATAATGCCTCCATCTTGAACATAGAAATTAATGAAGCTAGAAAAGTGGCAAGTATATAGATTTGATGTGGAAGATACATGTCATGGAGAATAGGAGTGGCCAATCAGAGCACCTGAATTTTCACTACTATAAAAACTTCAAAACTTAGATATACACAGTACATCTTATTTATAGGAAATTACAGAAGTAAACAAAGTTTTCCCAGTGCTTAATTAAGCACCACATCATTAAGATATAGTGGGAAGTGCAGGTATAGGTTTAACATTCTTGACCTTGGTGTTAGATAGAGGTGAGTGGTCAGCTTCATGCCTAAGCTGCTTTGACCCTAGGGAAACAGCTCCCACTGCCCATTGGATAGGAGGCTGGGTGGGCCACACATCCCATCTGGATGCTTTGGAGAAGAGAAAAATCTCTTGCACTGCCGGTAATCGAACCATGGCTGTCCAGTCTGCAGGCTGTCACTATACCAACTGAATTACCCCAGTTATTATGTTATCAACTTTGACTTATTTTAACGTGAAGACATCATTTTAAGCCAGATAAAGACTTTACAGAATAATGGACATCCATGTAATTTGTTTCATAAATTTATGAACTGGTGGTTATAACAGCGTAACATGATGGAAGGTATTTATAATGTTTCAGAGGAACTTACTTATTCTGTCTTGAAGGTAGAATGAATTACAATGTAGTTCCTTGAACTAGACCATGTTATCATTCCAGTCATATTCACCTTGTATTCATTGCTATGCAGTCCATGCCAGGAAGCAGTACCATTAAATGTCTTATAAAATAACACTTCTTAAGTTGGCCACTTTATAAAATTGTCAGTTATTGTACCAAAGTGAATAATTCTTATTGAACGCTAAACGTCTAACATTGAGTATAGTTCATTGTAGATTTTAGGGGTCAGCTTCACGCCCTGGCCACTTTACTCCCCAGGGAAGTATCCCTGGTACCATTAGATAGGAGTCTGGGTATGTTCCAGAGCAGGTCTTGATATTATTGAAAAGAAAAAATCTTGCCTCTTACAGAATTTATTGACCATCCAACCCATAACCCATTATTATACCGACTGAGTTATAACCTTAATTTGGATAATATTAAATGAGGATATAGGATATTGGTGGGAAAGCCAGATGGAAAGACACCATTGGGAAGACCAAAGTGTAGGTGGGTGAACAATATTAAAACGAATCTTAGGGAGATAGGATGGGATGGTATGGACTGGATTGATCTGGCTCAGGATAGGGACCAGTGGAGGGAGCTTGTGAACACAGTAATGAACCTTCGGGTCCCATAAAATGCTGGAAAGTTCTGAGTAGCTGCACAATTGGCAGCTTCTCAAGGAAGGCTCAACTCCATGAGTGAGTTGAGTGAGTGATTAAATGAGGGTTCCAATGCAGTACTTTTTCCCAGTAGTGTGCTTGGAATAGAAACCCTCTGCAGTATTCTGATTATTATATTGTAGGGTGTGGAACTGTTACTATGCAACAACTACGTGATAAGTAAATATACCAGAGCCATTGCTGGGTAACAGTAAAAAAATACATACCTCCACAGCAACAACCAACACACAACAATAGAGGTACTGTTGGAGACGGTATTTTCTGTGGTGGTCCATGCCGGAGAGTTATAAGCAGAGTGAAGTGAAGACTTAGTTGGAAGGGGGTTGCCATTCAGAGAGGAACTGAGCACAGAAGCAGAGGAATAGCCACTGTTGGAGCTGTTGCCAGGCAACTACTAGTGAAGGCACTGCAGGCTGGATTATGCTTGTTGATACTCTAAAACAAAAGAAACATTATTCTGTGGGATTTGGCATGCAGCAACAGACTTTGTAAACCTGTGGATTCAAAAAATATTTTTGAATATTTCTTGATCTTCCAGGCTGGTGAAACAGGCGGTCATAGTAGTGGAGTGTCACTGGTTGGTCGTATGCGTGGACTGAGGCAAGATGTCCAGAAGAAGATATCACGATTGCGGGCATCTGGACCAAATCCTCCTCCTCCAGCACCAGCTCCAGCAGTGGCAGAAGGCAGTGAACGAAGAGGAGAAGCATTCCCTTCTACCAGTTCTGTTGAGAGTTTGCCTAGTGGCTCTGGGTCTAGTGAGTATCCATATTCCTTCATCAGACACTCTTAATGGTTTTTGTAAGAAAATGTTAGCTTCCTGTGTTAACTGAACACAGTAAAGATTTGTTATTCGGTGGCAGAATTATTTTCATATTTTACAATATGAAATACATGGCCCATAACGGAGACCTCTTAAAAAAACTCCGTGGCCTCTAGCCTGCAATCAAACTATACTGACCGAGCAAGTGCCACTTGTCAGTGAAGTTAGTGCCAACTTTTGTGGATAGAAGGTGTCGCGTGGTCAGCGCATCGTATACCCACCGTCTTTAATCTCAGTTGGAGACTCTTAGGTACTATAAATTAGATAGATGACATATTAGACAGTTTCTGTGATGTAAGAAAAGTGAAAAATACTATTCACAATTGTAGAAGCATAACGACATAAAAATTATGTACATGTCATTATCTCTGAAAGCTAGATCACAATGCTTTCATGTATGGGGCTTTGCTGTGTGCAGACAGAAAGGGACATAGTCACCGTATTTGTGGCAGGATTAGTCTGTCTCTATCCTGTGTACTCTTAACATCATTTAAATGTATTATATGCAAAATCCAGCTTCCTCCAATTTTCTCTAACACAGACAACAGTGTGCTGTGGGCACTGAATAACAATGAAGTCCTTCAGGGCAGTGCTGCCTTGTCATCATGGAATATGGATGAAGACTTCCAAGAAATCTGCACTGTTAAATAATGTTAATAGCACTGTGGCTAGGAGCAGACTTGACTATATAGAAACTGTGGTGATGGAAGAGTGAGAGGTTGGAGTAGTGAAATCTGTTCAGTTTTTGTGTTCTTTAATATGGAGAACGTATTTCATACAATTTGTAACAGAACGTTTATTGGTATTGTTTATTATCAATCAGGATAGTTAAATTGAAGAGGTGACTAGGACATGTAGCTGAAATAGAGAAAACAGAAATGTATATAGTATTTTGGTAAGGCAAACTGTTTTGAAAGTAGCCTCTTGGAAGACTGAAGTGAAGATGGGAAGAGAATATTTTAAAAAATCTAATAGGGTGCAAGGGGCCATGCCATAGCTCAGGTGGTTAATCACCAGCTTCCCACCATTGTGGCCGAGGTTTGATCCCAGATCAGATAATGTGGGATTCATGGTGGAGGAAGTGGCACTGGGGCAGTTTTCTCTTGTTTCCCCTGCCAGTTCTTATCATACCAGCTCCTCCATAAGTATTAATAATCCTATCATTGATGGTGCATGATCCCAGTACTGATGGCATTGTTAAGTAACAAATGTGATAAAAAGGATAGGGTGCAGTTTTATATTGGATTTTCTGTACTGAGGGTAGAGTTAAGTGTCAACAGTGGTAGGATTTCCTGTTGTCAGTGTAGCCATTATTGGTCCTATGACAAAATAGTTAAATGGAATTTTCCATTTATAAGTCTGCTATACTGTTACACTACTTTTCAGACATCACAATATTCTGAATTTTGGGAAGTGAGCTCATTGTGTAACATTGTGTTATATGCAAGGGGGAGGGAGATAATCAATCTGCTTCCACCCTTGACATCTCTGTTATTTTTATAAATTTTCACGCTATGGACATTGTTTTCAGGCACACAAGCTCTCGTTCCTGCAGCTGGAAGTAACCACAGCTCCTTATCTGCAGAAGACCGTGACTCAAGTCCAGTCAGCATTCCTACTCCCACATCGGTTATAGCTCCTGTAATTGGAAAAGCCCGAGCTCTTGTAGACTATACACCGAGTCCGTACGATAAGGACGCTCTTAGATTTAAGGTGAGAAGGGATATATTTTCCATTAACTATTTGGAGCAGCATATCTCATTTCAGAGAGTACAGGTTTTTTATGGGCACACGGTAGCATGGTTAATTGAGGTTGCTACAAGCCATAAGGTCACAGTTTCGATTCCCGATGAATAACACTAAGGTGGCCTTAACACATAAGAACCAGGCCATGGAGGTGTATGGGAAACATGGAGTTAAAGGTCTGTGAATTATTGGCAGTGCTTCATAAACTCACTTTCTGCTTCTGTGTGATGAATGAACAGTCAAGGTCAACAGGTGGAGAAATCTGATGTACTTGCAGTATTCTCTGTCACTCATTTTTTAAATTCATAACAGATTTCAAATTGTAAATTTGTATCCAAGTAGCATAAATGTGAGGACTGTTATTAACATATTGGAGTCAAATACATTTGTAATCTTGCAGAGAAATGTCTGGCAAATAGCATTTTTGGTTTACTGGTGATTTGAACCAGCATTTGTTAGTCCTGCTTAGATAGAGACGCATGATCCGAAACAGCCCTCATTACCCATTGGTTAGGATTGTGGGAGTTGTAACAAAAAGGGAAATATCGCTTGTACCAGGAATCATATCTCAGTCCTTCTCATAACAGGCCATATTAATGAGTGAATTGTCTTCGCTCTTGTGTGTATGATTTTAATATCAAAAACTTTATCATAGATAATGCATTTGGAAACTTGTGCGTACTTCAAAATAGAGTACATTTTTGCAGTCTTGTGAAATTTTATTGTATTTTAATTTTTGGCTTACTTATTGATGCTTTAAGCAACTCACAGTATGTAATGTTAAATGGTAAATTTATTCTTGAATAATGAATTGAAAAGGATGTGGAAGGAAGTGATCATTGCATAATTTAATATACCTCTCTAGTATTAGCCTGGAAGAACCAAAGAAAACCACAGAAAACCCCATCTCAGTATTTCCACTGTCTGCACTGAGATTTGAACTGTGAACCTGCTAAATTTGAAACAGGAGTGATACTGATTTGACTGAAACTTATTATAGGATAGGAATGGCAGTGATGCAATTTGTTTCTCATTGCAGAAAGGAGATGTTATTGATGTGGTGGCAAAGAATGCAAGTGGACTGTGGAAAGGGGTACTGCACAACCGAGTTGGAAATTTCAAGTTCATCAACGTGGAGCTGCTAAGTGAGAAGATGTGCCAACGAGTGACAGGTGGGAAGTACAGTGGTAGACGCTGTGGGTCCAGTGCTAGAGGCAGGCCCCATTCTGTGGAAGAATTGCTTCAGAGGATGAACATGGAGGTCAGTAAAGTATAACTTTTCATATTGTTCAGATGTCTGTTTTCTTTTATACGATTTTTCCAGTTTATGGTTCTACAGTTCCAAAACACAAGAAGCCTTTTAAAAAAATCATGATTCCAGAATTGTATGTGACATGATGTAATAATTTATTTAGGTGCTGTATTTATTTGGGGGCATGCGGTAGTGTAGTTGGTTGAGGGGCTATGCTACAAGCCAGAAGGTCGCGGGTTTGAGTCCCGATGAGGTCATTGGATTTTTTTCAATTAACTTAATCCTTCCAGCCGCACTATGGCCCTGAGGTCGACTCAACCTCTAACAGAAATGAGTACCAGGAATTGATTAAATAATTTTACTGCAGCTGGCGCATAAGGCTGACAACCTTACTGCCATCTAGGAGCCGATTGTCTAGATAATGTGGGACCCTCAACGTCTCACAACCCTATGGGCCTTCACGGCCTGGTACAGAGATAGCTTTACTTTTTTTTTTTTACTGTATTTATTTATTGTTTATTTTATGATGCTGTCAGTAGCTTGGATTATATGGCTTCATATTAATGAATGACTAATGAATAATAAATGAGATAGGGTGTGGAAGGAAGCAGTCTGTGGCCTAATTCTGATATACTGTTCTGGTATTTAACTGGAGGGCCTGAGAGAAACCATGAAAAGCCTCAGTTGGAATAACTGATCTGTTGGTTGAGTTTGGGCCAAGGACTTCCCAGATACAAAGATGGAGTGCTGACCATTTGGCTCTGACATTTCTCGACTATCTTCTTCACTTCATGATGTAGGCAGGCCTGCTTTGACTTCACATACTCATTCCATGTTTCTGTGAAGTACACAAGTATTCAGTGTTTAAAATGTGACAACCTACCTGCTTTATGTTATTGGATCACACAGACATAGTTTATTAATATCATTTATTTATATATGAGAGAGAAAGAGAGAGAACCAGTCAGTAGAGAAAACAAAAATTTCTTGTGGCATCAGAAATTTTCTTGCATATGATTCACCAAAGTACTGTCGCATGAGAGAGTGACTACAGAAGAAGTTCTTTTTAATAATCATATTTATCAAACTCTTAAACAACTTGTGACTACACTTTACAAATCACTATCACACACAGACTAGTATTCTCACCCATGGTCGTTACTGCGCTGCTTGGTAGAAGCTTCCAATGGTGAATGTTCCCCTTCCTCTGGATTCCTGAACTGTCCCTGGCCTCAGGTACCAACTTCTGCAACTCTCAACTGACTGACTGCCTGCAGACTCTCTCTCAACTTGGACTCTATACTTGGACTGACTGACTCCCAGGCTGGTGGCCATCTTATACCGACCTGCTACTCCTCTAGCTGCCATCTTAGAACTCTTTAGACTTCTTTCTTGATCCTTTCATAATGGCAGCTGGTCCTCATTATTTAGCTTCAGCATGGACAACACAGAAAACTCTGTTCCTTTGTTGCATATGCAATCATTAAACTTATGAATTATTTACTGTGCCATAACCTAGAAATGGCTCTCTCCTCAGATATAATGTCACAGTATTTAATGAAATTAATGTACATACTGTAAAATGTGAACACTTTGCCCCTCCTGCTATAGGAGATGTAATAAAATTGCCCCTTCTAATGTAGTAAAACAAAGTAATGTATCATTTATAATTAAGATACCCAGATTGAAACAGGCTGATCACAGATTGCATTAGTATTTTAACCCTTTGAAGACCTGCCATGGAACTATCCACTATAAATGCCAAGGCTCCTTGGGGGTAAATGCTGTTGCACACAAAAACTCACAGTTCTTCTGGAAGATAGCCTCAAAACAACCACAGATGCAGATAGTGAAAAAGTTTTCTTTTCTCGAAACATTGGTACCTGACACTTGATACCATCTATTGATGAAAATGTTGTACTAAGTGATCGATATCAAGCCAATCTCTTCAGCTGTGGTAATTTTAACACAAGTACACCAAGCTGAACTATTTGGCTCATGGAGTGCAAAGTGTGAAATGGTACTTCCAAAGGAGTTAGTAGCTAAACATTTTGACCAGCATTTATTTCAGTTTATCTAAAATTGTGGCTGTGCTATAATTCAGGTGGTTGGCTGACCTTAGTTCAGTCCCAGGTGACTTAATGTGCTATTTGTGGTGGATAACATAACTGGAACAAATTTTTAAAAATTTTATTTAGTTTTCCCCTGTTAATTATTATTCCACTATTGCTGCATACTCATCTGTTACATATATACTGCCTCCATCTTCAGTGTTTGAAAATGGAGGCAACACGTTCAACAAAAATGTTGATAACGCTGTATCAGACTATTGTGTCATAACCCAGAAGAAAACAATCTAAATTTTCACTGCCTTCAAGACCTCATATTTCGTTCATTGTTTTATTCAATGCTTTTAATGTCTTGTATAATATCCAGTTATTAATAAATAAATGTATGATTTTGTATTCTTCAACCTTTTTTGATGCATATTTGTTTCATAGCTTTCATTTTCTCCCTGTGCAAGTGGAATTGGAAATTTAAATAAGTAATGTTCAGTAAAGTTGTTCCCCTAATAATGATATGAAATTTCTTTCAGGAGCACATTTCTGTGTTTGTCCTCAATGGGTATGAGGACCTAGAGCTGTTCAAGGACCTAGAGGGAGAGGATCTGGATTATTTGGGAATTAGCAACCCCGAACATCGAGCAAAGATCCTTACAGCTGTTGAACTGTTGCATGACTATGACTGTATGTAACATTGATGTTGTATATTAGAATATATGAGGGGCTGTTCAAATGAAACCAGATGTATTCACAACCAGTGCCATGAATGGTTTCCACTTTATCAATCCTCATTTATATTTATAAGACAATTATAAAACATATAAATTGGACTGATTAGTATTGCCTTGAATTTAAAAACATGAAAATTGGGTTGGTAATGGTTTTCTTGATAACATGGCAGTTACACAAAATATTTTTGACCTGGCTCTGTTAACCAATGAATCATCAGATATGATGCCACACATAAAGTTGTATTAGAAATTTTAAACTTGTTACAGGCCTTTTTCAGGAAGAATATTATTGTATGTAAATGATCACTAGAATGTCAGTGAAAAACTTTTGAGGTTATGTCTTGAAAAGAGAGAGCAGCTGGCTTTAATAAGGTTGATAACTGTGCATTTAAGTGTCTGCTATTTATACATAGACATGGCTATGCACTGCCCTTTGCAACTGTCCGTTTTTGGGATAGTTTAATTATTTATCAGCTGAGAATTGATACGTTTTATTAATTCTTATTAAAATTGTCATTAAAATTGGTTCTAAGGAAAGATAGGTAACTTAAAACTGTATGTTTAATACCCCACAATGAAGAGAGGACAAAACAAGTGGTTGATAGAACTCACCATCCTTGATCATTACTGTTCACTTACAGATACACTGAGTTTCAGTGTACTGGTGTGGAGAGTAAGAGTCACTTGAAAACCATGCTCATGTTTTCTGCTTGGATACTACACAGAGGCAATTACAAAGATCACTCATATGTGGGTCTTTGTAATTGCCTTACATTTTCTTTGTAACAGGATAGTAAGAGCCAGTAAGGGTTGGACACTTCCAAGCAGCCCATAAAACTGCACAACATCAATTTTCTATTTAATGTAAAATTAGGTGATTTCGGTATATTTTTATGTGGAGATTATGAAAATGTTCTATCACTCAACATTTGGCTTGGAAAACTACATTTGTTATTTGTTTGAAAAAATGAAAATGTGCAATGACCTAAAGATTTGGCTTGGAGAGTGGCAGGAGTTCAGCTGTTAGTTGTTGTAGCTCCAAATGTCACACAGCCATTGGTCAGGAGATTGTCATGCCATGCATGGGCTGCTTGCCATATCTGGGTCGCTGTGTTACTGCCTACTGCTTGTTAAGTTTTGATCTTTCAGTTAATACAGTTAAACTTAGATTGAAATTTGCTGGAATCATGTATTTTTCTTTAAAAGGAGAGACAAAATTAAGTTGCTGGTCTTCTGGATTGTGACAACAAGTAGTCTTGTGGCCAGATAACAATGTTTTGTAGGAACATGCTATATCTATCTTCAGGATAAAAACACAAATGCACAATGTCACAACCCAGAACAGCATAGTCTTAATAATCACAATTGTTTTAAACCTCAAATCATACAGAGATAAAGTTATTCATTTTGTTGTCCAGTGTATTGGTGGTCACATACATTCCCCTCCATATTGCCAAACTTACTTGACTAGGCTAGAGTTTGGAGAAAACTGCATAATAAAGAGCTCCATAACTTGTACTGTTCACCAACTATAATTACATGATCAAGTCAAGGAGGATGATGTGGGCAGGGCATGTAGCATGCATGGATAGAAGCAAAATTCATATAAAATTTTGGTGGGAAAGCCAGAAAGAAAGAACCCACTAGGAAAAACTAGATGAAGGTGGGAGGCTGATATTAAAACGGATCATAGGTAGATAGGATTGGGTGGTATGGACTGGACTGATATGGCTCAGGATAGGAACCAGTGGAGGGCTCTTTTGATCATGGTAAAGAACCTTCATGTTCCATAGAATGTTTGAAATTTCTTGAAAAGCTGATTGACTGGCAGCTTTTCAAGAAGGACTTAGCTCCATGGACTTAGTTATGGATCATTTAAATATTTACAAGCTATATCATATGTTTGCATTTTAAGATATAAGCCACATCCAAATTTTAGAAGGGAAATTTTAGGGAAGGAAACCTTGTTCTATATTCATGCTGCAAGAACCATGCTGATTTTGCATAGTATTTTCTGGGAAGAAGTATGTCTTATGTTTGAAAAATATGGTAAGTGAATACCAACTTTGTTCCCAGCAACCATTATACTGTAATCAATGTTGTCATCATATATGGACTTTAACCAGGAGCATTTCCAGCATAAATTCAATTATAAAGTTATTTACAATGAATAGTCTATGGAATCACATTGTACATTTGAAATAATTTTTTAACTTAGGTTAAAGTATAATATGCAACTATAATAGTAAGAAAAGAGCATCAAAATTGCATTCATTTTGGTAGACAGTGAACCATTTTGTGAAATTCAGTTAATATGATTTGTTTCTCCATTGTTTCATGTCCCTTTATAGCTTAACTTTTCTCATGTTTCTCTGAAGAATCTCATTTTTCCTATACTTTGCTATTGCATTGATATAGCTATGTTTTTTACAGCACCAGACAGCCCAGCAGACACAGATGGTGATGGTCCAGTGTCTAGCAGTGAGGATGATGAGGATGATGCTGGGTCCATTAGCCAGCATTCTGAATGTTCCGCCTTGCAGCAGCGTCCACTAGATGCTTCCAAGTCTTCCTTCCAACGGCTCCAGTTCCCTCGCGACTCTGGATGCTATGACTCATCCATTACTGCCATGAAAGAGCATCTACATGCGCATCACCGGCACCACCATCACAAGAAGTCTGTCCCACTAGGCTCCGCCCTTCGCCACCACAAGGCATGTGAGGAGGACTCTTCAAAGTGCAGCAAAGAGGGTACATGTCAAGTGAAAGAAGGATGTGTGGGTTTGCTTAGATCACAAGGAGAACGTACCATGAGGACGCACAGTAATCGTAGAGAAATTCCTAATAATTTAGATTCAGGTTTAGTTGCATCATTGCAACATTCTCTGCTTCAACAGTGTTCAGGTGGAAATAGGAGTGGTGGTGTAGGGGTGGGGACTGTGGAGGGTAGTGAGATGCATTACAGAGGGAGTGGTGCTAAGCTGCAAGGTGCAATGGCCGATGTTACAGACTTGAGTAAACAAGGTATGGTACACACATCTTCTCTTCCTCAACAACAGAACTTCCATCCCAATATACCTGTCACTTCATCCAGTTTGACAGCTTCTCCTGTTAACCATTTCCCCTCGGTTGATTTCACAGGTATAATGGGTGGTGGGAGAAGTTTAATTAGTGCTTCCTCCGTTTCTACTTCCATTTCCTTCTCTTCTCCAGTAAAAACTTGTGCTGGAAATTCCTTTGGTGCTGAGCATAAATCGGATTCATATGTGGTAGCACGAGGGAAGAACGTGACAGTGGAATCATGTCGAAAGGCAGGAAACCCATCAGCTCCACTGCCTGTTGGAAGTTTGAGAAGCAGCAACAAGCAGCAAGTCCTTTCAGATTCCCCTCACAGCATACGTTCACCGTCCAATCCATTCTGTGCTGTAACAACGAACGCCTCCATGGTAGATGTTTCACCTCAAGTTGCAGCAACACCATCTCCTTGTAGTGGGGGTGGCACTGGAACCATTATAGTTTCAGAAGACTCTTGTGAAGCAAACACCAAACTGACAATGGTGAAATATGTGGTAGGAGGCAACAGTGATTTAGGACTTGGCTGTGAGGGTGGCAATATGATGGGTACGGGACGAGGGGGTTGCTGTCTTAGTGAAAAGTCCAGTGACTCTGGGGTTAGCTCCAGTTCAGTATCTTCTGGTAATCCTAAGGAGAACTGTAGCAGGAAAGAAGGCAAAACAATTGTTCAGAATAATGCGGGTCAGTCTGTTGTCGAGAGTCCTACGAGAGGCTTTGTCAGCTACGGTAGCTGCATCAATAACAATCATCGATCGTCTCCTACTAAGAATTCCAATAAGGGTCTTGTACTACAAGGTTCTGATAAGAGTACTTATCAGTGAAGTAATATATCAATTAATTTTGAAAAATCAAGAAATCTCGACAACTCATATCAAAAACTTAGTCAGTGATATAAACAAAAGTAATGTCCTCCTAGTCTTTTATTCTTCTTTCTGATGTAAAGTTTTAATTGTTGTAATGCAACATGAGACAATGAGCTCAAATTTGTCATTGTTAAGATCTGCTTTTTGATTTTGTTTTCTTTGACAATTTTGAGAGGCATTATAAATTATAGTGATGATTGTACCCAAGACCTTTTCATCATTGTACATCCCTGTAAAAATATAGTAACTAATCTATACAAAACATGGATTATCTTGCTCACCCTTGAGTAACAGAATAAAACTGTCTTTTACTGAAAATATTAACAGACTTATTTTTTATATTACCATATTTGGCCATATGCAGTGTGTGCTATTTTCCTTCCACATGCTTTTCAGAGAACTGAATTCACATTGTGCATATTGAGTCATTACATATTTTAGTGTCATCAAAAATGTTATTTATTGATAATGGTTATTTTCTTCTATGTTATGACCTTAGTGAGATGTACAGTAACACCTAGATATGCAAAGTGGATGGTTCCTGAAGTTCCAGTCATATATCAAATAACCTTTTTGCGTTTTGTAACTTATCATTTCATGCTGTAAATATGTGATGAATTTACTTGTCTGTCATTCATATTGTAAGGAAAGATAATTTTTATTGAAAATAATATTTTATATGTACTAATAAATTTCCAGTTATATATGTAAAGAAGCAGAAGTAAAGCTTTCCCTGTAACAGGCCGTGCAGGCCCATAGGGTTGTGAGATGTTGAGGTCCCCACATTTTCTCTAGACAGTCAGCTCATAGATTGTGGTAAGGTTGTCAGCCTTATGTGCCAGCCGCCCTTTACCCCCAAGAATATTGCTGGTACTCATTTCTGCTAGAGGCTGAGTCCACTCCAGGACCATAGTGCAGCTGGAAGGATTAGTTCAATTGAAAAAGATCTAATGACCTCATCAGGACTTGAACCCACGACCTTCTGGCTTGTAGCATAGTGCCTCAACCAACTACGCTACTGCGTGCCCCATTTGTATATGTTATGTACAAATTAACTTTGAAGTAGCTAAAGGAATAGTAGACTAGTAGACTAGTGTGTATAGGGTTTTGGTGGGAAAGGCAGAATGAAAGAGACCAATAACAAAATCTAGACTACATGGGTGGATAATAATAAAATGGATTTTAGAGAGATAGGATGGGATCATATGGACTGGACTGATCTGGACCAGTGGAGGACGATAATGAACCGTTGGGTTCCATAAAATGTTAGGACATTCTTGAGCTAATGCACAACTGATTACTTCTCAAGAAGGTCTCAATTCCGTGGAGTTAGTTAAACTAATACAGGTACAATTCAGGTGTAAATACTTTAAAATAAAACGTAACAAGGTATATGAACCTAGTAAAGTGTATTGATAGTAAGTAAAAACTGATATAATAATTCTTTGGTTGGATTCACATATTCTCAATCATTTTTAAAATAAGCCAGGCCGATTACTTACAAATCTGCACTGATTTCATGGTCTGGGGATGGCGTTCTACCTGTCACATTATTCAGGAATAAATAGTGTCTTGGTACCTGTCGGACAATGTTTCTTCTTACTGCATGTTTTAGTTTCAACAATTGACACAATGGATAATGTTTATTTTCAGTCTTATAGAATGTTGCAGGATTACGGTGTTTACTTTTATGACTTTTTTTAATCCCTTACCTGATGATATGTGAATATTGTACAGAAGTTCCCCATTCCAGAATTTCTTACATATTCTGAAATTTCGAGTAAGTCAAAATCTATATTTTACTTTGCATACGTAGCTATGTATGTATGTGTGTTTGTGCATGTTTATGCTTTGTAGAAAAACGTAAACATTAAAAGATTAAAGCACTGGAAAAAATTATTGTAAGCATAGAAAACTAACATCATAATATGTCATTTACAGTTCATTTACAATTTTTACCTGAATCCTAGTGTTATTCCGGCGTACTGAAGATGAACTGTAGGCTGTATTCGACCGCATGGCGGACTATTTTGCTTTTACATATGTAAAGCAAAATTTTCCGCATATCAAAAATTTTATTGTGTGCCTTATGGAACAGTTTACCTAAATCGAGTTTTGCATAACCTGGGGAGTGTCTGTATGTAAAATAAGTTAGAATGGTTAATTAAGAACTTGCGTTGCTTCATTCCTGTTAAATTGTTCAGGAAACGAATCCCCACCTGATTCCTGCGTTACAGCATTTCTTCTTACCATATGTCTGTGTGTGGACTGAAAGATTGGTACGTACTTTTACATACACAGGTGATTAGATAACATTTATTGATTCTAGGCTTTCACAATGCTTAGCTGATGGCGTTATTCAGTTCTTGGGTGTTTACAATATGTGAATGTTGACAGCATTAGCGACGTTTCGGAATTACATACTACCATCTTCAGGATCTAGAATTTTCGGAGATCTAGGCCACTGAATATCTCAGTCAATATATCGACGGCCTACGGGCTTGACGGTCGGGATTCGATTCCCGACAAAAGCAAGAGATTTTTCCGTACTCTACAGCGTCCAGACCTGGGGCTCACCCAGCCTCGTATCCAATGAGCACCGCACCCACTTTCCTCAGGAGTAACGCGACCAGGGTGTGAACGTGACCACTCATCTCCATCTAATGCCGAGGTCAAGAGTGGTGGAGCTATACCTCCACCCCACCATACACCTTCATGGTGCAGTGCATATTGGTTAATCACAGGGAAAACTTTGCCTTTACCTTAACCTTAACCAGTGAAGACAGGAAGCGGAAAACACTTTTTTTTTTTTACACCTAAGCCTTAGGACCGATCACAGTGGCCGCGTGGTCTAGGGCACATAATGTCTTCTCCCGCTCGAACACTGAGATCGTGGGTTCAAATCCCACTCAAAGCATGAATGTCTGTCTGTGTTAGGTAGCGGCCTTGCAACCGGCTTCCCACTGCCTTAGATTAAGAAACTGAAGCGAAACGAAGCGTTTCACGGATGCCCTATGCTCCAGGAAAAAGAAGAAGAGCCTCCTTAGGGGCCCGCCATTCTCTAATACTAGACTAGTAGACTAGACGAGCCTCGCGCGGGGCCTCATACGCCGGGGGTCCCTGGGCCTTTGCTACTTCGTCTATGGCTTACTCCGTCCCTGTCTTCAGGGTGGAAGTTTGTAGGGTAGGTGAGTTTCTGTATGT